AAAAGACATCATAGTACAGCTGTGCAGAAAACTATAGGTTGCTTTTTGCAGAGGTGCTTGCCTGCTAGTGCATAGAAGAGGCATTCCTTCCTTCTCCAGTCATAATGTGTACCAGCAGGGGGGGTGTAAGCACACACAAGTGGAAAAGATCAATGCAATTTAGTGACGCCTCTGTGCAAGCCTGTCACTATTAATCCATCTCAAAGCATGTGACCGCCACAAAATGGCAGGAGGAAAGACATTTTACATGGGAGTGTCAGAAAAGAATGACAAAGTACTGGGCTGGATGGCTTGCTGTCAGTTCGAGTCAAAGTAAAACCATCAGGGAAGTTCCAAAGAATTACTGTACCATTATGGGCTTGACTCTGACAGTGAAAAGTACAGCTTCGTTGAAATACTAAGCATTTATATTTTGCTACAGACTGAAACAGAAATGTGGAAAGGGGGATTTTAGAAGTGAATGGTGTGCAATAAGGAATTCTGAGATTTAAAAATGCAATTCTCTTTTGCAAAACATAAACCATTATGTCAATTATGTTAACTGAAGTCGTGTGTTGCACGCATTAGAATGTTATGGTGGCTTTTTAAAATAGTGATGCCAGTATTGACTTTTTTATGGCACAGACACACAAGGCGAGAAGTTAAATCCATCACAATGGTCTGGAGAGCAAAGGCCAAGATAACCTATGGATTTATTTTTGGACTTTCTCTGCCCATTAACAGTGTCGCAGAGTTGTGCAGAATAAAGTTCAATCAAGATATGCTAAGCACATAATTCACCAAACAATGGAAAATAAAATGTGCCACTGAGCCCTGAAGTCAGAAAAGAAGAGCACAATGTGAGCTAAAAGTAAAAAAAAAAACATCTCTAATCACAAAAAGGAAGAATCAGACAATAAGTCAAAGTGAAAAATGGACTAGAGGAGATAGTATCACACAAGGGGCAATCAGCCTCCAACTAATGCTCTTCAATCTGGTCCAAAGACAGGGGGAATGCTCACAGCCCAACACACTTATAGGGTGTACTGCCTATGGTCTTTTTGACTTGTTTGATATCTTTTTCTACAATATAAATGCAGTCAGCTGCTTAGTCTGCCTGGTCTCCCAGATCTACAGTTGTAGAAAAATGATGTTCCATCGATTGCCTTATCTTCATTTTACTTTTATCATTTGCTTCTCAGTTTTTTTTAAGAATAAATGACCTTTTACCAGATGTAAATCATGGCTGCCCAAAACCAACTCTAAACTAGTCTTTCACAGTTTGTCTGTAGCATCAATTCGCACAGTGTATTTGGCAGCTGGATAACCGCTTTGTCCTTCCCATGAGACAGACTTTTATAAGCAGTGCCGCCGAGCAACCTTCCCATTCATCAATACTTGAATTTATTCTCGCAGTAACACTGTGGCAGCCAGTATAGTTTATGCCTCAGAGGAGCTTCTTTAAATGTACACAGTCTTCTGGTGTCCAAGTCAGTCCTTAAAGGAAAACAAATATAGAAGATTTCTGATAATATTCATGTTTCAAAGGAATTATCTTCATTTTGATGGGCATTTCTCTATCCCACTCAAGTCCTTTAGTTATGACATAATTCACTTTTATTAAAAATGCAATGGCTCAACTGGTAAAAGATCGCACCTGGACGCAGAGCTCCACAATCCTGGGTTTGAGCTTGTGTTGTGTTACTAGCTGACTGTGACTGGATTCCTCAAGCACAGGCTGCCAGCCAATCATGTGCCATGAAGGGGGGGATGGGATTAGTCGGCCAGGGACCTCTAGGTTCTCAGAGACACAACAGCCACCCTGACCTCCCGGGTGTTGGCAGGTGTGCAGCAATGCGGGCCAAGGATGTGCCTTGGACACAGGACAGTACTGTCTATGATGTGTTAGTGGACAAGTGGCACAAAGCTGTCTGAAAAATATGTCCTTGTTCTCCACTAGATGAGGGCAAAAGCTGTGCGTCGTGATGTGAAAAAACACAACAATTTTACAACTTCCCAATTTTCCAAATCATTTGGGTTTCCAACAAAAAATGGTAATTGTCAGTTCTAAATAACCACAAATGTAATTGCTATTTTCCAAGTCCATACCATACCAAAAGATTACACCAACATTGGCATCATGTTTTTTAAAGTATTTACTGTAACCTGTGCAGATATTTCTCATGTTTTGTAAAGTATTAATGGTACTTTGTGCAAATGTTTCATATGTTTATGAAGCATTTACTTTAATCTATGCAGATATTTCTAATGTTTTATGAAGTATTAATGGTAATCTGTGCAGATGTTTCCCATTTTTTATGTTTATAGTAAACTGTGCAAATGTTATGTAAAATATGTGAGGTAATCTGTGCAGATACTTCACAATTTATGTTTATAATAATCTGTGCGGATGTTTTATACAGTATTTGTGGTACTCTGTGCAGATGTTTTAATTTACAGCCATCTGTGCTTAATTTTTGGATATAAAGGTTAAAACTGTGTCATTTTAGTTTCTTTACCTCTAATTAGTGCCTGGTAACTATAACACTCACATTAGCACACATTTTGTCAGTGATCAGTGTATTGGTGTCCAGATTATGTCTGGGCATTTGATGCCTACAAATGGCCAGGTGGAATCGGTACAGCCAGTCATGAAAATGACCTTAATTGGGCACTGAGAGTACACAGACTTCACTCAAGGGAACTGACACCCACTGTTGTTCAAAAAGGGCAGAAGGCCTTCAGACCTAGTGTTGAAGAGATTAATGGGTGCTCCAGCAAGGACTAACTACTAAACCAGGTATTTAATCCCACTGCAAATGTTAAGCAAATCGAATATTTAAACTTTGTCTGGAAAGTAACACTCTAGGTTAATTTATAATCATTTGACTCCTGTAATTATAATCTGTAAGATTAACACCTAAAATTGAATTTATATATAATAATCAACAGGAACTGATGTAACACAACCCAGGTAGTATCCCACAGGTAGAAACACAGGCAATAACAAATAATTATGGCTTTTCAGTGAAAAAAATCATCTGGATTTACACACCATCATAGTACAGCATTAAGTCTAAAACCCAAGATGACAGTGTTGCATGCCCCTGTGATCAGTGTGCCAGCATCCTATACTCAATTAAGAGGGGGAAGTGTTTTAGAATTAAAACTATACATGGTGATCAGGTGAACGTGTAGCTGGTGAGCTGTTGTGCAATAACTGCATATTCACAGCCACTTGGGGTTTTAATACTGAGAGGCAATGGAGACCATTGTCTGGATTCAAAAGACCTGACTTAACAAACAAGAAGGGTCAAAAGCCTTCCTCATACTTATAACCCTTCTTCTGTTCATTAAAGAACCCCTGATTCCATGAGACCATGAGATTTCATCCTGTCCTCTGTATTCTCTGTATTTCCCCTTAATTTATACGATGGAAATAGAATAGAATTTATACAATGTTTCTGCTTTTGATGCTGAAAACCAAACCTTCCTGTTCAAGATCAGAAATGACTTCCCCTTTTCTGAAAGTTCCACTGCTGAAATCTAGCAAAACTCCGAACAGGTTCATTTACAATAAAGACAAATTAGACTTGCAAAAAGATTGGGCAAAAAGGGAAGCAAATTCTGACCTGGAGAAAAAGCAATTAAAAAGGCACTAATATTAAGGGAAGATTTAAGAAATCGTAAAGTTCTGATTCTTTTACCACCTGAAAATAACTTGCAAGAAATAACATTATAAATGAACACTCCTGCTCAGTAGATGGGCAGTGGATTACTGTATTCTTTAATGTGGAAATTACAGGACAACTGGAACAATGTACAAAACAACTGTTAAGAGTGAGAAATGTTTTGTTTGGAGAGGTAGAGAATTTCTCATTGGTAACAAGTCAGTGGATGGTTTCTAAGAATGTTACAGGGTTAACCAAAAATGATTAATAATTGATCAATAATGACTGAAAATAAATACTACAACCCAACAAATGCACATTAAATACTATTATCTATCCAACAAGTAAAATAACAATGAAATCCATACAACACTGCTCACAAAGAAACACACAAAAGTCTAAGAAGAGCCAGTTTCTTTGGGATGGCACCCTTCTGAGCAATCTAAAAACATATTGGAGTGAATCATTCTACTGTATGGTTCCTACTGCTTTGGGATAGTCAAAGCCAGCTAAAGGTCCTTGTTCTGGATAGTACTCATTACATGCGTGAAATTGATCCCTGTGCCAATCAAGGTCTAATTTCAAATAGGCTAGAAATTTCACCAGGTTCTGTTAGAAGTGTGTATATTCAAGCCACACCCTCCTAAAGAGTCTGTTCTCTCAGCGCCATCCAGTAGGAGAGACATCCCTTGAACAGCAAGCTTCTTGTACCTGACAGCCATTTTCTCTCAGTGTAACAGCAACTTTCTTTTATTAATTCAACTGGCTCTACCGAAAGACCAAAATAAACTAAAGGAATTACATGTTCAAGCCAAATGCCCATCTCAGAAATGGTATTTGAAGAATGTGGGTAATCAAATTAAACCTCCATAGTAGATACAAGTGCAAACTGGAATGTAGTTACACGGCTGCACTGATGTTTCTCTGCAGAACGAGAAGAAAGCAATATGCAATGAAATAAATAACATAGCAAAATCAGAGTGCACCAACGTTTACCAACAATTTCATTTTGGTATCTGATGTTGTAAAGGGTTTGGTTAGATAGAAACTGGAAAAAATATTCTCCAATGTCGTTTCTACTCAGCACATATCAAGTAAATTTTAAAGAGCAACCAGTTGAAATTTAAAGCAAGTTACATAAATTGTACAATAATATCAGTAAAACAACATCACGCTACATGTTAAGCAATATAAATCTGTTACACGCCAATTACTATTCTGTATTCCAATATACATATCTATGTATATATACCATTTGATACATACATTTTTAGATCATTATTTCATTATTTTACAATTAAAAACTACCGGTGTTTGAAAATATATATTTATATGTTCACATGCCTGAAATTCCTATTTTTGTTTTATGGTTCTTATAAAATGTTATCAAGTTAAAAAAATCTAGCAATGTTTTTACAAAAATTCGCCAGTACAGTCTCTCTCTTTCCAAGGCAGCAGTAAATTTTTATAATGCAATAACTTAGGGCTGTGTGTGCGAAGGTCCAAACCAGATATTAGTTGTAGACAGCAACAGGTACAGGATCACATTATAAAATAAAATAAAGAAAGCTTTTAGTTGCATTTACCACATGGCTTTTTGTCCTAATGTGCCACAGACTTGCAAGTCAAAATAAAAGCTATTATTGCAATGGAGGTATATGATGTTTCTTGGAGAAGAATCCAGTGGACTCAGAAGGGAAATAAAACATCACTTAGGGCCAGCAGAACTGTGGTCACAAAGCACACACATGATTTCATTTTGAGAGTGGTCAAAAGACTGCCAAACTAAAGCCTTTTTTTCTCATGTATCAAGTACTGTGCTGCTGGAATCTGTTCATTGCACCTTCTGTTACTGCAACACCAATCAGTTCTTACTGTGAACCAAAACTGAGATCAAACTCTCTCACTTCTAAATCATGCATTGCAGTAGTACCACCAAGAGTTCTTTGTGAACACAGGCTGTGGAATATATCCCTGTACTGCACAGGACCTGAGGAAAAAAAAAACAGAAAAGCCTTGCCTTTTAGTGTTCTACAGACAATCTCAAATGCTTCAAGACTTTGCTTGGATTCTGGACTTCAAACTGTTAGATCTGAAGCAGCTTTCAAGTGTAACCAATTCTCCAGAGTACAGCAAGGTCCTCAAGGAAAAACAATAAGAGCAAACCAACTCAAAGGTAGCATGGAGTGCATCCTGCATTTTTCAGTCCAATGGCTTTTAAGATTTGGTTAAATCCAGACAACACAGAGGGTCAGGGCAAAACCTTCACAGCTGTCCCTGCAAACCTGTGCACCCCAAGGCTCTCAGTATATGGTAGCCTTTTATTTTGTTTTCATGACATATTCTGAAGTACGCACCATGTTAATCTGTAAATAAGACAAGATTCGGGAACGCAAGAGCTTTGCAATTAGAAAATCTCAAATATAGTCTAAAATGGCTGAAATCATACAACCAGTGCACTATTTCACAGTGTCATTTTTTCTTGAGTTTGTCTTTTTTATATACTGTAGATGCACATATATCAAACGGCGCTCACATTCTGAAAAGATATTTCAAGAAATCTTCTATGCTGCAATTCCGAAGGTTCTTAAAGTATCCATCTCTAATACAATTGCTGAAACTCAAAGATGTGTTGCAGTTCGTTTTTTGTTTCTTTTTCAGTCATGGACAGTGGTTTCGGACACTCTGTGTTCCTTAAGCAGTTTCTCCACCTGCTCTTCCAGAGGCTGGCCAAAGTTGTCAACGCGCGACTGTCTGCTTCTCGTATCGGCGTACTGCGCATTGTCAAAGGGCACGCGATGCACACACTGCACGTGAGTCTTTAAGTTTCCTTTCTGAGAGGCACTGTACGGACAGTATCTGCACTGGAACGGTCTCTCCCCTGCAGCGAAAAAGACAGACAGAACAGGAGACAGACAGTAAACATTGCGCTTCAGTCACTTTACAAAGCCAGCAGGCAACTAAATAAGCTGGATGGAAACTACAGGCGTGACTGATGGGATGGTACTGGGTGCTCCATGGTCTTACCCTGAGGTTAAACTTTTAAATGATGTTTTTTTTGTGCTTCAGTTTTGCCAAAACTCTTTGATCAAAACAGAGTAACTGTAAACATGTCACTACCCTCTTATCTACCTCTATATACAGTACAGTACATTGTTACAGTATTAGACAAATAGTTCTGAACTGGTCCATCAAAGCAAAGAAAACTTCCAAGCTCCAAAACCTGAAATTCAACATAATTAAAGTTAAAAACAAACAAATGTTAATACAAAACACAACATCATAATATCTGACACAAAAGTCCAGATTCAAGGTTTATTTGTTCATCTTGGAGAAACTGTTATCTTTAAAAAAATGTTTTCTAAAATTCACCAGATTTGATTTTAGATTTACCAGTATTCCCTTTTCTTAAGGTGTGGTTGTACAGAAAATGTCAGCACACAAAACATTTCAAATTCAGCTTTTTAAAACATGAACTGCATAAAGCCATATCAGTTTCAAATACCTTTTGCAATAAGCTCTCATTTGAATTTAGCCAGCAGGTTTTATGTAAAACATTTCAGATCAACAGAAATTAGTAGTAGTTGGAGCACATGGTTATTAATTTGGCCTGTATAAATATGAGCCTATTGAGTTTCTAATTTATCAACGTTTCTGTTTTATTCCTGCACAAGTTTAAACCGCAAATAAAACGACTCAATTTAGCAACTGCCACAGAAATTAGTGATAATTTACTGTTTAACAAATTATATTATTCCTAAGTCAAAAAGGAAAACTCCATATGAGCATTAAGGACTGAGATTGAACTTACTGCGAAAATTTTATTTGCTAACAAGAGGGAACATGTTTAGCATTCCCTATTCTTTCTATTAAGATTAAAAATATGGGACTGTTGCTCAGGGTAGTCTGGGTTCCCAGAGTAAATCCGTTTTTAACAAATTTTTACAGTTACGCCATTACTACACAAATAATGTTGTCCCAGGAGACACATACTTTTTTAAGCCATCTGTATCAAGTGCAGTGGTGGGCTGAGAGGGGATTCTGCTCCACATAGATACACGCTGATAAATACTGTCCTATTACTTATTCATTTGAACAGCAATATCATAGACACTGCATAATGCTTTTAATTAAAATGATCTACTATGCTTCACAATCGATCACATAAATAAACCATACAGACCTGAATGAAACAAATGAGTCTGCCATTTAATTGTACCTAATTATTATTTTGAAAAATGAATCTGAAAACAAGAACTTCTCCTCTAAAAACCAAACAAACACATATGAATATATCACATGAAAAAGCAGAAAGCAGACTATAAATCATAGCAATCTGCAACAGACTGTAATGCAGCAGTTTAAATGGTTAATATACACCGAGCACCATAAGACTAATGCTTCATCCTGGGAGTATAGCCAACAGAAAAAAAAAGAAAGAAACAGTGTTCTAAATAACACAAAAGCTTATTTTAACTCTAATACATTGTGAACAATAGATTTAATATGGCCCCTGCCAAATACCTAATTATATACATGTATTTGAGAAGCTTACAGAATGTAAGCACCATTTGATGGCTGTCTGTGAACATGAACTACAATTCATTTAATTCATTTGTTGTTTTGTCTTTGAAAATATTCCACTGCATAAGCAAACTGGGAAAAGGCAACGATATTCTGAGGGCAAATTAATCTTTCCAACAGAGCTGACACCGAACAGCAAGGCAGGGTGAAATTTGGAAAGGACACCACTGCACAGAGCACAGAGAAACCATGGCAGACAGAGCTGCCTCACAAACAATAAAACACCTTAACAGTAATACTCATCGTGAACCAGATTCCACAACGGTAATGTATTATTTCTTTTTTTCCCTGTTTAACGGATGATACTGCATCATAAAGCTGGTGAGATATCTGAAACTGTACTTCAAACAAAATGGGAAAACAAAATTGGGTTAGCGCCCACAAACCAAAATTTGAGTGGATCAGTAAAGAAGTATAATTTTCAGTTTCAAATTGTACATTTTTTGTTAATTAAGCATCAGTATGAAACTGTATATGGTCAAGAGTTCATCACAGGTGATTAGTATAGACATGGGTCCAGCAGAACGAATTCAAACTTGTGCACTGTGCTGTCTTGCCTTTTTTTATTGGGGAAAAATTATCATAGGTGTTTGCTATTTATCAGATTAATATTAGGAGTCACTGCTACTTCACTGTCACAAACCACAAAATACAAAAAAAAATGCACAAAATTTATAAAAAAATACAAAATAATGATAGTTTTGATCGGTTATATCCATTTATATCCACGGTTTCCATTTTGTATATCAAAGGAGACATACTGCCACTTAAGCGAGTATTTGATTTAGGCCTGGGAGAAATCCAAACCAGAAACTACATACTAATCACAAACAGCACATTTCCACGTTTCTCTTGGGTCCCAGGGTTTCCACTGGGTTCCAGGAGAGGCTTCTGGGAAACATAAAGCCTCCACTAGGCACGAGATGTCTAAATTGTAATTGATGGTGGGTCAAACCCTTAATTTCATCCTTCTAATTAAATCCCGGTTAAATTAAATTGCCTCTGTATTAAACTCTCTTAATCTTAACCTCTCCAATAAGTCCAAAGGATTGCTTTCTTCTAGTACATTTTGTTACTTTTTTATTAATCACATGATGCCTGTTTTGGGAAAGGTTCATGCAAAACTAAATCACTAACTCATTATAATAACCTCATTATTGCTGACATCTGGTTTTACAGAAGTCATCTGGGAATTTATATTCATGTATATTTTCATTAATAAGCTAATTTAAGGAATTACCTAGAATATATATATTTTAGGTGTTCAGCTGTGAAGTCCTAGACTGCTGATTTGTAATGTTATTTTAAAAGTCACAATAATTATTCACACTTTATGTAGGAAGAAAATGTGCTATTGTCCATATCATTGGTATTGTATTAGAAATCTCTTGAAATTGGAAGAAACCTAATACAGGGACAATTTTTAAATTAATGAGTCCATTATTACATCTGGACAGGTAGGTTGTCCAAACCACAATACTGAAATGATTTTTAAAAACACCCTGGTGGACTGAACAGAACACTGAAGAATCAAAAGATTAATGGATCTATGCACTTCCACAGTATATCCACCAGTTGTATAAAAGAAAACTTCAGGCGGCCTTAAATCTGGCTGCAAGCCTCTCTCCCAGTCTAAAAAGTAGCTGGACTCGAGGCTCTGTTCACAAAACCCTTAAACACTGCATTTGAGTCACCTTCCGTGTTTCGTGATAACTCTTGACCATTAACATTGAATTCTTATATTTTTAATTCATTTCCCAAGATGAGTATCTCTGTTAGTAGAAAAAAAAGCCTTCCCCAACACGCACATGAAACCAAACACCCAATTAATGATAAAACATACTTGTTTTGAGGCGTCTGCAGAGGTGGTGTGAACTTCAGTACCTCGGAGTCCATTAGACTCAAATACCACTGTGGGAACAAGGGGGCTCGTTAAAATCTAAGACTTCAGATAACGAACATTATTTGAAACCATTACAGATTGCCATCACCAGAAATGAAAAAAAGTAGCCTTTGGACTGAAAATACCAATTTAATATGACACTTACAGTTAGAGAGTATGCTAATGGCAGCCTGGGGCCTCTGCCCTTTTTAATTTGGACATTTATGCTGAAGAAAGCAATCACTGACAACATTAATTATAACTCTATGTATAAAGGGGACCCACTTCTTGCATTACTTACCATTTGGCCTCTGTCACTTTGCATCAGGCTGGCTTGTACATGCATCATTCACACTCTCAATAAAGAACTTACTTATCTCTCTGTCTCCTGCGATAAATGCAGGTTCCTTGATGGCAGAATGTTAAGAAGCAGGCAAAGGGCGCAAGTAAGAGGCAACTAATGTGTCTTCAGGGATTGAATCTGCACTTCTTTTGCAAACTCCAGATATCACAGCAATCCTTGCAGATGATGTCATGAGGGCAAGATACATATTTCTAAAAACTGGCTCAAACACAAATACATATGGGCAAATGGTACCATGTTGAAATGGACATTTGATGCTCATAATGCTGGTAGCGATACATCTCATTAGCATGCACAATTACATCTCCCTTATTGACATCTGATTAATAATGTATACACTTTTTCACAGGTCAGCATCACAAGCAAATCTGATGTGCACTCAAAACCCAGCCTGTGCCGTCCAAGGACAGTGGCTGTGGCTCAGAACATTGACGCACACTGACACACACACAGAAGACAGACTCACTATAAATGTCTATCTTTACGTCTTCGAGAGTAAAAACTGAGTACTGCAAGCATATCACTTGGGTTTACTTCATATAAAAAAAAGAAAAAGACAACAAATATCCCTTTTGTGATGCAGTGCAGAAAATGTACAATCAAATTGAACCAAAGAATGAAACCAGATTGTTTTAAAGATAATCTTCGAAGGAATAACCTTTGTTGGTTATGTTAAATTCTATTAAAATCAAGCATATTCTGAAATGTTTTTTTTCTTCCTGCGATTCTTTGAAAGAGACCTGATATTTTGTCTTTGTCTTTTTTTTTTTGGTGCCTCCAGAGTTAAAGAAGCTCTACCTGTGTGGGACCTCATGTGTGTCCGGAGGTGGCTGGGCTGGTTGAAGTTTTTTCCACATTCTTTGCAGACATAATCTCCTTGTCGGACCGGTGACCTCAGCATCCCTGTGGTTCACAGGGGAAAAAAAAAAGAAAAAAGTTAAAGAAGAAAACATTATGCCAGGAAAAAAAAAAAACATCATTAGTATGTCTAATGTGTCATTATGCGAGGCTACCTTCAGGCCCTGGATGACAACTGTCAGCCTTCATCACGGCAGAAGCTGACAGACCAGACACACACAGGACTGCGAGAATGCATAAATTAGAGCCGATTAAAAGAGTCGCCCCGTGATGTGCCCGCTCCAGGACTGGCATGTCAGGTGTGCGCATTTCAGAGCAGCTGGATACACTTCCCAGCCATCACCCGGCTTTGTCAAGCGGGACATCAGGCAAATCACTGTGACGCCACCGTGGCAGCAGACAAGTCGCACAGATAATGGGAAGTGAGTGGGACCAGAGCTCGCCTGTCCCCCCCAGGGGCCAGGGACAACGCGCAGAGAAATGCAGAGTGAGCGCAGCCATCACGGCCCGATCAAACCTTGAGCCGTCCACCTGCCTGCTGGTGCCGTTTTGACCCGGGCCCTGGAAGGCAGGGACTGCGGACATCTATGAATGAAAGTGTCGCTGCCAGACCGCTCAGGCGCCCTTCCGCTGGCCTTGGTAAACATGTTTTCTGATCCATTAGCATTCATGGAAAACCACCGAAAACATCCTCATTTTCAAAAGGTCACTTTATTGTATCTGACTCAAAGGGCTAAAATGGAATGTGACGATATCTCTCCTGACACACGACAGAGACTTCATCTGTCCACAATGCATGTTTTATTTATTTATTTCAACATTGAGGCTAGCTACGTCAAGTTTTGTACTTGACCTTAGGAAAACGGCTACACCGAATACAGAAAAAAAATGTCGGAATAGGGATTTTATAATCACCATTTTTCAAAGCAGCTGTGACTTAATCTAAGTTTTTTTTTCCACCCTTGCTTTGCATATTAATGGCATGAGGCTAAATAAACGACAACACAAACCCTTTAGTCTGTTCCTGACAAGTCACTGCAAGTATGGAGTTTAAGGCAAAGTACATCAGATGGCATAGGATTCTGATTTCCCTTTTACCAGTTCATGGTTTGGAAAAATTCTAATAGTAATTTGTAGTTTTTTTGTAGCACCTTTCATCAAAATGATTGCAAAGTATAATGTAAATAGAGGATGTACCAGTGCTATCCAATTTTGGAAACTTTGTTTATGTGTATTTTTAAAAGCCTGTTTTCCACACTGACTGTGCTGCTGTTCGCATTTTAGTGATTTGCATTTGTGTCATAATCTGTTGTATCAATCCACACTTCATTATCTCGTGGTTTTATCACGCCTGAGGCTCCACATTATGTATGCGCTTGTAAAATGACACATGGGGTGTCACCATCCCTGCTTTAGAAATTTGGGAATGAAGGCAGTTGTGACGTTTGTTTACATAGCTGCAAATGACTTGAGAAAATACCCCAAGATACAAAAAAATTAACAAATAACATAAGGGCTGGAGTGCAATTTTACAATCTGTTAGTGTGTGGACAAAAAAGCTAAAAATCCAAACTGTACTTTCTCTCCTGATTGCCTTTAATTCCTGATGAGCATTTTGGAGATGGGATGTGTACCTGCTTTGGCATCAGTAAAGCCAGTTTTCAATTGAGCTAAAAACGTAATGGATTTGGGTGACTAATTATAAAACAAGACTGTTTTTGCTTATAGTTGTGATATGGCTTTGTAACATAGAATTCATAATTCACAATAGACACAAATATGAATGAGACCTTCTAGCATTAAGAACTTGGTAGTGCACATCCACATTTCCTTAGTGAAAATAATATCAAAGCGTGCAATTCTGTTACGAAAATAAACGTTTGTTCTTATCTGAATCTCATATTGTTTCTGCTTACTGCTGGTTAAGCTCTCTAGCACTGTTGGGGGCCACTCTAGGGAAGGTACTTCCCAGACAGACGTTCAGAAGAGGTGAGGTTTGATGTTTTCAGGGGGTTAGGATGATTTGTTTTTACTTTTGTCACATTTCGTTGGTTGGGGTGACACATTGTGCAGATGTTCATAAAATCTTGTTCGTATGAGATGTCACAAAGCTAGTAGAGACGTTAGTTTTCTGAAGCTCATGAGCAGAGCCTGTAACGCATTAACACTGTCCTTTAATGGACCTCCTGCAAATCCATTTTCCTATGTCACCTTCACCCATTTTGTCATCTTCATCTCATGACAGGTATTTCTTTTCAATCTAAAAGCGTCAGGAAAAAAATAACTGAAGGAGACAAACAAGATGCTGTATGTCAAGTAACACCCAGTTCATTAAGTATAGTGAAAACTACTCAAAACTTTCTGAATTTAATTAAGTATTTTGCTATGAGCAGAATTTCACTTTTAAACTTCAGTGACACTTGACTTCAACCCTTTGTTTCACTACCCTGTTTGACACTTCCACTCTGAATTTATTATAAGGAACCCTCCTCCCCTGTTCAGACACATCACTGGATCTCCAAGAGCTCAAACGGCACATGGCACATACACCTCACGGTACTCTGAAACAGCTGCAGTCCAGTCCCATCCTATTCCTCTCACAAGATCATTTTCAGTTAAGATGGGAATAAGGGTAGAAGTGTGTAGGACTGAACTTCATGTTTTACAGGCTAGAGAAATTACAGCTCAGGCGTTGTAGGCTGATAGTGCGGCGATGGGTGTAGCCACGTCTTTTATTGCTTAAAATAAAAAGAAAACTTTCTTCCAACTGTAGCTTTTCTGGACATTTCCTAGTCAACCATTATCTCGTCTTCCTTCGGGCTAGCTCGCCTCAGAGGTTCAGTCGTTCCCTCTGTCTCTGTTTCTCTCACGGCCTGGGCTCACCCGTAGTGTGTCTGTGTCTGTCCTTTAGTGTGTGCCTCACATGCCTGCTTGACGTGAACAAACAGGGCTAGTGTGACACAATATGGATGCATTTGTGACCAGAGTTAAAACGCAAAACCTTAATCCATCCAAATTACAAACAGAGAAGACCAGAGAAGAATTAACCACTGAGACTAATGAAAGTCCTTTTACCAATGAGAGCAAAACAAACACCAAAGGAAACAAGAGGTAAGGAGAGAGTCACTCCATATATACCACATACCCTGTACTTCGCAGCTCAGCAGGTGAGACAAAACGGTGTCAAAAAAGGAACAGTGCTCCAAACTTCCCTGATTAAGTGGGCACAGAAAATGAATTGTTGTATCTTTCATTCTACTGTGCTCCACATTTTGTGACTTCTGAGTTAATACAGCTTTATAAATTAATTACTGAGACCGGAGCAAAATCAGCAGGGTCAGCTCTGACACCTTGGACCTAAAGAAAAATAGAGGCCGAAAGTGACCTGTCAAACCTACAGCAAGTACTTGACACAGTGCAAAGAGCTCTAATGACCGAAGGTATGAAAGAAAGAGCAGTTTGGTGTATGTCAGTTACTTTGATACAAATGGGCAAACTTCTGGTCTAACAGAAAATGCCCGACTCACAGCTGTCAGTTTTGAAAAGCAAAATGTGTGAACAAGACCTTGACAGCTTCCTCGACAGTTCATCATCCAGATGGATTTCACACGGCAGTGGCTTGTTACAGGATTTTAATGGAGTGGCTTTTCCAGTGACTCCCGACTGTGTGGCTCCAGTCGGGGAACTGACTGTGCCAGTAGAAGGCAGGGCTTGCTGTGTTCTCTGTGTGACAAGTTTTCGGATCCTCTGCCTACACCTCCTTGCCCACCTGCATTTGTGACACCACATAGGCGTTACCAACCTGTCACAATATTAGTTCCCCCTCCTTAAGGGTGCTCCAGCCCTTTTACTTAAGACTTAATTCTCTGCACCTGCTCCCTATTCCCAGCCCACCTTAAAAGCCAGGCGCTGATGCTCATCCGGGCTCTGCATCTGATTTCCGTATCGTGCGAGTCCAGGACCTGGAAGCGCCTGGTCCCGTTAAGGTTTTAACCTCCGTTCCCGTTCCTGTCCGCCGGTTCCGACCCGGCCTTCGTGGTTTTAACTTTGTGTTTTGATGGATCTCCTGGTTTTGTACTTTCTCGTGTGTTTTTGGATACTCTATGGATTACTCTTTGGGATTGTTCGCCTCGGCCACACCTCCCCCGTGCACCAGCGCACCTTGGACACGCCCCCCTGTCTTCTGCCCCGTATTCCTGCATGACATTTCCCTAGTGTTTCCCCACTCCGTCGGATTGTGTCATCCGCATAGGGTCCGGAAAGAACTGTTCGTTACACAACCAGGCTGCACTGACAGAGTCGCGGACCCTTGGTCATACCACTAGCTCACCACAACTGGGATTCCCCAACCAGAGAAGCGTTAGTGAGTCACTCTTTCAATCAGCGGCACATCTCCTGTCACATGCCCTACCTGCCACTGTTCAAGCCTTAGACAGCTGGCAATTCCACATAACTGGAGATTCCTAATCTATAAAAAGATGCAACTGCATAAATATTATTCTTCATTGTTACATATTGTGAAATTGCACCCTCTTATACATATACACATGGACAACTAGAAAAACTAGCCTATGTATTTCACATTGTCACTTTAATAATAAAGGTGACAACAGAGAAACCTATTTTGCCAATAAGAAGTTCAAATGAGCTCTTCCCCGCTTCATTTCACATCTATGTCCGAATGTACTTAAAATTAAAATCGCTTTTCACTACCTGCTGCACTCCCTGACCATATTTGCACCTTGTTCTAAGAATCAGAGGTCAATACATATACAGTATCAGGATATATATGTTAGCAGACAACAAACTGTTAGCTATTGAGACTACTGCCATGACCCTGACTCCCTCCACCTGTGCTTATTTTGACGGGACACAAGTGTTAAATGGCATTTGGTTAGCCAGCTGTCCAAATAAAAACATTCTGTGTGCGACTGTTCACTGGCTCCAGCTGAATTGGGGTGAAGGTTACAACTCTGTTTTCGGCTCAGGGTTAACACTTCAGGTTACGATTAGTCCTGGCATGAGCACAGAGATCTGTGCACAACCCAGAAGATTCATCCTGTGGTGTTTTTAAGGAGACTTATGGAGGACAAGCAATCAAAGCCGGCTAATGTTCCACCTTACCTGTCTGGTCCAGCATGGGATTGTTGGAGCCCCAGCGATGGTAGAGGGTGGCTAGGTCGTGAGTGTTGCAGTTCTTCAGGAAACTCAGGATGTCCACAGATGTCTCTGGTCCTTCTGACAGCTGCTCCTGCTTCATCAGGATTTGCAGGGAGGGAGATCCTGGTGCAGCACCACTGTGTGTCTGCGAGCCGCCCAGCATTCGTCCACTCGTACTGTAGCCTTCTATGGCACGGGCATCCCCCCTCGGGTCTCGCTGTGTAGATGTAACTGGGGTGATGTCTTGCCTGTTCTTCTGCTGACCTTTTAAAGGGGAGTGATACGACGGGGGCTGTGTGGAGAAGGCTTTGGCCTTCGTGTGCTCAGACAGGCCATGCTTGGTAGAGAGCATGAAACCCAGTCCTTCTGGTGGGAGCAGGTATTTCTCCATATGCCTGCCTCCAGACTTCTGGTTTCCCGGAGGCCGCTGAGGCGCCCCGACATTCTTTTCAAAGGCTCCGGCAGGCGCGACTTTGGGATAAATGTCCACCTTGGGCCGGACGTGCCCTGCCTCGCCATGCTTGCTGCAGTTGCCCTGGGGGTTGCCGGGTTTGTGTTTTTTGATATGATGTAGGCCTGAGACGTTGGGGCCTGCTTTATCTGCGGTACAGGAATCTCGGCCTTGGGATGTGCTGGGCTGGCTGGAGCAGGCCCTGTCCTTTGGTGTTTGGGAGCCACTTTGCTGCGGAGGCCGTGTGCGGGTGATTCTGGGACCTGGAAGAGGCTGGCATTCTTTCCCATCTAACACTGGAGGAGGCCCCGTGCGTCTCCGCTGGCTCAAGAAAGCTAAACTCTCCTTGGGGCCTTTGAAGCCATTTTTCTGGACCCACTTTGGAGCCATTTCATTGCTGCTAATCTTGTGTGAAATTCTTTGGTGCATCCACAGGACCTCTGGGTAACAGGTAGTGTGAGGACAGTACAAACACTGGTGCCTAACCAAAGCATTCTCCGCAGGTGAGGTAGATAGGTCCTCTGTGACGCTGTCGCTGCTGCTCTGAGGTTTGGAGCATGTAGAGAGATTTAAAGGGGTGGTGTCATTCTCGTCTTGTAGTCCACTCTCTTTCTCATGCCCTGATGACTTGCCTCCTTCGACAGGTGGCTTCTCTGATGACCTCTGACCAGCACTTCTCCTGAACTCAGCCTGACCTGGCCTGGGATCAGTCACTGCCTCCTTGAGGCATTTGTAGAAGTCCGATGGGTCACAGGGCTGCTGGGCAATCTTGGAACTCATTTTGGAACACCTTCCATTCTCTCCCTGGTCACGCAGCTTGCTCTGTGGCGAAGAGCCATGACTGGGTTCCACTTCTGAAATGGCGAGCTCATTCACGAAGGGCCGGCTGGCCACATGCTGATCTTTCATGTGTGACATAAATAAGGAGGATTCCGTAGTAGTAAAATCACAGTGGCTGCAAGTGTATGGCTTTTCATCTGTAAAAGACACAGAGGCACAAGAATCAACATATTGACCCTGTGTGCATATGTGTATGCATGCATATAAATTAATACAGTTTCACAAAACACATTAAATTGTGATTTCCTTTTTAAGCTTCTCAATGACTCTCCAAACATCGTCCATATAAAACTATCCCATTGTTTTGTACTGTTTGCTAATATAGCATGATATATAGTAGAATATTATGTATTGAGATCACAGCTTTAGGCCATGTTAATTTCCCTATCTGCCGCTAAAGGAACTGAAACCTGTCCACCTTTCAGAAACCAGCAGAAAAACATTCTCAGACCCAGCAAATTACACACTCACTTGCTGCTATTTAAACCTGAACTTAGAGGAGATTGATAACATGGACAATACATAGACTAACAACATTCACAAACACTCCTGATTAGGATATCACAGGTGATACAACAAAACATGACGTTGCTATTGACAATATTTACTGTATTGTTACAATATTTCCATTTAATTTAAAATGTATGTGTCTCAAGTTTTGGCAATTGATTTTGTCTGCTGCAAATTATGTCACCTTTATTCACTCTCTTCATTGCCCATCAATAAATCATGTTATGACAATGTGAGACTTGGAGTTCAGATAAGCATGTTACAGTACATGTACATCCTATCTTGTTTGGAATACCATGTCTCTGATGTCTAGGTAGGAAAGACTCAGCCTTCTTCTTAAGAAAATGTAAAAACTCTCCTTGTTGGAAGTGTTAGTCACTCTAAACTGCAGTTACACTTCATAAAAACTTCAGCAAGAAAAATAATACAAAATATTGATACAAGTTCATATGCATTCAATATGATCAGCTTTTATGTACAATAACTTTGCATTGTTTCCTGGACCTAATTTAAAGTACTGTTTAACTGCTATCCCAAGGACTTTAGAGTCAAGCAGAGAGCTCTAAAGTACTACAATCAAATATTTCAAAATCTGTTGGACTCAGAGCAATGTAACACAGGAGACTGGCTTAAGGCAGACCTCTGGGTCACACACTTTGCTCCATGCTCTCCAAACATGAAGCTATGTGTGTACGGGTATTAATGACGGAACAGGTACAGCACTGACAGTACTGTAACTCCTGAGAAAAGGGGCTTTTTGAGAACAGGTGAGGAAATCTTCATAAAGCAACTGTTAACAGCAACTGGAATATACTTTAGAATTGCCTATTTTCAACTCACGGAGTTTCATTTCAGTGCAGTACGGAACAGTAAATAAAAAGAGAACAATAGAATGAGAGTGAAAATTTCATTACTCTCAAGTACAAAAATAAAACAATTGTGTCAGGGTCAGTAGGGAGGGGGAGGCTGGTGTCTGTTTTTGACAGAGCATTGAAGAAGAAGCCAAATATAGCTCCTAAAATTCTCATAATTACTGGGAACACAACAAGGGAATTTAAAAATTAACATTTACATTTTCATTTCATTTTGAACATTTCATATCCAAAATACTACAATAGGTTATATGGTGACAATTCTGAAAGTAATTTCCACTGTGATGATACAAAAGGTTCAGACAAGATGGAAAACCTTGTCTGGACTACATTCCCCAAAAAGCGTCTGGCCTCAGTCACCTGACCAGTTACTGTGAGACAACTGGTCAGGTGATAGTTTAAAAAGAAGGAAGTAAGGGCTTTCAAGACTGAGTTTGCTCTGTTGTCAGAGGGATAAAGAATCGGTCCTCTGTGCACAGCGTCATCATTTGAGAGAGACTGAGAAACTGTAAACTTGTTCAAAGAGAAACTTATTCTTGAAACAATTATGTAAAGAGTTTGTTAGAGACAAAAATTTGAAAATGGTAAACAGTTAAGCTTCCGGTTTTGATAGACAGGGATGTAAAGAAGTTAACTAGCCGCTCAAAATGGAGCTAGGTTTTCATTTTGTGTTCTCTGCACTTTAAATAAACTGCAGTTCTTTACGGCATTACGGCAGCATTTCTGTCTTTTCTTGGACGTGCCTATTTTAAAGATTAGTGTGAACAGTTTAAGGAGTGCACTGTAATTCGATTTGGGAAACTTTCTTTTCTTTATTTGATTTTGTTTGAAAATACTACTTTTAACCGCAGTGTTTTCCGATATGAGTTGGCTACACAACGGTTTATGAATTCCTCACTAATAAAAATCACAAAATAATTTTGAGGGGTCCTAACAGTTATAAGGGAAGTTTGGTAATTAAAAAAGTAACGATAACCTAACTAACCGAACCTGTACAGTGACCAAGTGTAGTTTACATCTGATACTGAACCTCAGTTCTAATAAAATGTGATGCTGAATCATGGCCAGCAGATGGTAGCATTACACCGTATCTCCCTTCTGTTCTTGGAAAGTTGATTAAAATCTTAAGATACTTAGTATCTTGTTGTTAAACATCTTCGTACAAGAAGAAACACATATTTTATTTGTATATATAGTTCCCACTGATAGTGAAGTTTTCTAAGAGATCCAAGTCTGTTCCTTTCACACAATGGTTCGGTAATGCAATAAAGCATGCATAAAAAATATTATAGTTGAAACTAATTTCCAGGAGAAAAAAAGATACATTTGATTTTGATTACTCTATGGATGGTCAGAAATCACTTTCTATTGTAGAATTAACACTTTATGATAGTATGTCTGAAAAACCGATAGTCTTAATAGGCGTTTATTCATTTACAATAAATTAACCAACATGCATTCTCAGCAGTGAAAACAGATTTAAACTGAATTAAAGAGCGTGTTTATCCTCTTCTTCTGTATTCCAGTACAATACAATTTAAATTCAAATGTCTTCAGTTTTAGCTCTTTCAATGGCAATTTTCCCCTCTATGGACTTCATGGGGACATTAGATACTATTAACATATTCTTAAATATTCCGCGCGCCAGCAGTTTTTCACTGAATGAGACGAAAGAGTCTGGCCGCTGAAATACGGATCAAGACTAAACGGAGCAGTGCCGTTATTTACCACATGACGGCGATCTATATCATTTTGTCTGTGAAAGTGAAGAACAGCTGCTAAAGAGCATCAGAAGAATGCATGACACTCACATTTACTGTAAAACAGGGCCTGGGAACAGGGCTTTCTACACTTACTGAGTCCTTCAGGAATATAGCTATTTAAATACTACAAATCTCTACGCCTTTTTTTTCTACTGTAACAGATGGGAAACAACTCTGCAGAATTTTTCAGTAACCAAGCAGACTACCATCTGTTTTTAATTTGGGTGCTTTTAGTTAAGCTGTAGCAGCTAATACTGAGACCGAGCTGTGTTTCAAAAGGGCATCAAACAGAAGCTTGCAAGTATCCTAAGCAGATAACTGTCACTTTACCAAGTCCCTTGAAAAGTCAATGGAGAAATAATTTTAGGTTCACAACAGACAAATTGCTGAACAGTGCTGTATCACTACGCTTTCCTGGGAATGGTTTCAAACAAGAGGAGGCCACTTAGACTATCTAGCTTGTTTGGTAATTGCTAGCTAATTGATCTAAGGATGTCATCCAGCTGTTTCTAGAAAGATGCCAGAGTAAGGATTCAACAACATGACTGGGTAGCTCATCCCAGACTCCCACAACCCATTGGGTAAAGATGTACTGCCTGTTCTTGGCTTCAAATGCACAATTTGTGTTCCACTGTTTGTATTCTGAAAACGTCTGCTGGGTTGAATGCCTTTGCAGATTTTAATACTTGCATTAATAATCAGGTGCCCTCATAGTCTTCTCTTGTTCACGACTACAAATGTTCAGTTCCTCCAGCCTGTCGGTGTAGGCCACTGCTTTAATCCCTGGAATCTGTCTGGTTGCTCGTCACTGGATGGATTTCAGATCAGCAGTGTCTTTTCTATAATGTGGTGACGGAACCTATACATTCTTCAGCATTGCCTCCCTTGGTGATTCAAACATGTACACTGCTGAGAAAAAGGGAGTATATCTTATAGACCCCATGGAAAGTTATAATGATCATTCATTCTCTGAAGTGCATTACAATTAAAAGCAATGGGTTATCCTGTCCAGTCGTCAGATTACACCTACAGTTTGGTTGGTCTGACGCAGTTCGTAGGCTGTTCAAGTTTTGCAATATTGGTGTTTAGGTATTTTCTAATGCAAAGCTGATTGCAAATAAATATCATTATCTTAAAATGAGATTAATTACAATATACATTTGGAAGATTGACATACACTCTATCCAACAGTGCAATAGAAATTATTCCAACTGGCATTGTCTGTGCTCACTAATCTAACACAAGAAGGGTATATTTGGATGTTATGAACACAGTTACAGCACACTAATTCTGCCAAGTGAAGCAATATTTTCTGTCCCACTGATAAGGACACCACATGCTATCTAAGGGGTTGTGTTAATTTACGGGCACTTACAGTTATATGCTGTACACAATTTTATTCCTAAAATTAAACAAAATCCTGCATATTCAAATAAAGTGACCTGAAACACCAAGTTCAGGTCTTGCTTGGTACAAAGTCCTGAGACCGCTGCCTATTGTGTATCTGCACTAGCTGTACATCCATGTTTTTGTTGTCAGACTTGCCAAGAAACGGTTTAACACCTTAGCTGTATGCTTAAGGAGATTATTTGTCCCATCATGACTAAAATGTAGATGAACACCAAAGAAAGAAAATACCCCACAGTAGGAAAGTGACAGAATTTCTCCCTCCCTGTAATTTACTGTCACTTTCACGTTGCTTTGTAAAGCTGGAACAACTTAATCAACAATCAAAAGGCATAAATGGATTTCTAAATTCATCTTGTGCCCCCGTGGTTCAACTGAAAAGCTCAGTATAAATAACACATCCTTTAATATTAAACCTGAGAAGCAGAGCTCTTCAGTATCATCTGCTCTGGATTTAGACACAAGCAGTGGGCTTACTTAATGTGAGTTTTCAGCAGACAGCGATGTGCATATCATTGTTCTTTCAATTGTAAGCACTGTAAATAGCCCTTTTTAACACTTACAACATACAATTAACTCTCACTG